AGGTTGTAGACGTAACAAATAAATAAATGTTTAATTTTAACTATAAAGTATATTATTTCAAATTTTATTAGTGGGCGGTTAGAGAAAAACATTAGAAAAATGTTCTTTATAGCGATTTCTAAGAAAGGGTTAAAAAATCTTGATTTAAACTAGAGATTTCCAATCTTTTTTTGCCAAAATTAGATTTAATTTGCCAACCTCTTGTATATTGATACAAAATATGAATAATTTACAAATGGGATCAAATAAATAGTACAATGAAGCGTCAAAAATCTAGATTCATTCGTCGAAAAATAGGTATTAATTCCTTTCAATGGTAATTTCGTTGTTAATGTTCTTTTGGTCTTGTGTTGTTGATGCTCTAACATTCGGAATTCGGAATTTTTCAAAATTTTATAATTATTATTAGAGTATTTTTTGTTTAAATGTAGTGATTCTGTAAATTATATTTTGAATCTTTGTAAGTATTCCTACATTCCTTGTGAAATATTGGCTTTAACTTAGAAATATAAACTTGATTTACAGTGTGTTTGGAATTTGCAGTACTTAAAATGCTAATTTACACGTAAGATATACTTATTTGAAAATCCAGACAAATTGTAAATCCGACGTGGTCTGGCCCCAATTACTCCGAATTTTCAACTCTTTACTGTAATAATAAAATAAGAATTAGTCTCAATAGTTTTATACATAAATAAGAATTAAAAATTGTGTGTTTTACTTTACTAAAGTTTAAATATATATCAATTACTATTATATTTTTTAAATGTCATAAAAATAATTTTGTTGATTGATCCTCAAACGAACCCTAGTAATTTATCGACTCCGCAGATAAATCAATTGACCCCTCGATGATCGCTAGCAATCAAAGTTTAGGAGCCTCTGCTTTTAGTTCTTATACTTTATTGAAAACTCATTATAAAATTAAATTAGAATTAAAATTTTCAAATGTAACGTGTAGAATATTCCTTAGAGTCTAAAACAACAAAGAAAATATGTATAAATTGATACATAAAGTAAAATGCCTTTCAATGATTTTAACTATTTAAAAAATAGGTAAAGATTTATATTGTTCAGAATCAATATGTACTGTACGCGAAACCAAAATTTCCAAATGCATTGTCGTCTTTAAGGCCTCTTTCGATCTCTGAGAGGCCTTTACTCTTTTTAGGCCTTGGTATATTGGAAACTTTTTAGCTATTTTTTTGACAAATTTTATTACTAAAAATGTTTGTTTAATAGGCTACATTAAAAAAATTTAACGGAATGAATAAGTTGTAACAAATCTTTTTGAGGCACGTATTAAAATTATATACTGGATCTTGCGGTTTTCTTATACAACACTTTATAGATCTCAGAAAGTAATAAATTGAAACTATATTCACATATATTGTTGTTAATACGCTTCTTTTATTTGAATTTTCTAAGATTTTTTTTTCTAAAGTTCTAATTTTTCTAACTTAAAAAACTAAGAATACTTAAATAATATTCTTAGTCTTCATCTTTAACTTATTTGTCTCATGTACAGTACAGTACTGTACTTATTGTGCTGTATATTCTATAGTATTTTGTTGTTAAATTTTTTTAAAAATTACTATTTAATAAATAGAATCAATTTAGTTTTTGCTTTTAATTAAATTTCTCTAAAGATATTAACAATTTTTAAAGGAATAAAATGGCATTATTATTTGATTTTTAAAGCACTCAGTAAGCAATAATTATTTTAATGTTAATTAGTCTATAGATATGAATCTAACTAAGATAAGAAAAAAATATAAAAAGATCTAAATAAGAATGATAATTTGCATTCAGAATTCAAAATGTTTTAGTAGCGTGACTAGAACTGATATTAAGTGATCCGAATTAAAACGTGCAAACCTACATTCTCACAAGCGCTTTGGATGAAGAATAAACTCTTAAATATTTTATATACATGTATATAAGTGTATTTGTTACATTCGAACCTTTATCCTATATTTATTTGATTTTTTTCTTAATTAATTTATTTATTTAAGTGGAGCCAGGCATCTGAGCAGAGTCGTAGAGAAGAGAGACTGGTAGAAAACGTAGAAGTCCATAGTAGTTCCTACCCCTATAAATTAATGTTATTTTTACTAACAAAAAAATAAAATCTTTAAGATTTCTATTTAATAATAAATAAACATTCTACGTATTTCATTTTCTCAGAAAAAAAGCAAAAGGGGCCCGCTATGGGTCAAAAAGAGCCCGCTCTATCTCGGGCCCCATACCAAGCTTCTTATGGTCCTGTCCCTGAGCCCATCTCTGGTTACGCTATTGACTGTAACTAGTAGTAATAAAATAACATTTGAGTGTTACTGACTTAGGTAGTAATTGACTGTAACTGTTATTGTTACGGTCAATCGGATTATTAGTCTCTTCTAATCACTTTCAGCGTGATATTATTTGTATCCTTTATATGAACAAGTACGATTTTATTAATTTTTGTTCTAGTTTTTGTAAGTTGTCGAACGAGACGGATTATTAAAAAACAACAAAAAAACAGAGATTTAATGATGCTATCCATTTATGATAAGTAGAATATAAGGTGATTTCGGGAACAGTTTACAAGTATTTTCTAATTAAACAGAAAATTTAGATTAAAATATAAAAGAAGACTCGATTAAGTCACGTGCAAGTTGGGAAGTGCTCTAGCTCTTCATGAAGTCTGTAATTTATCAAAGGTTTCTAGGCAACACTCATTAATGAAGCTAAAGTTTAATAAGTATGGTGACAGGGCTTTGGAATTATAATTATGTAAAACAATGTTTTAAAATTAATATTTAAAAAAAGAATCTTTAGTTTTTCTAGAATGTAACAGACTTTAAATATAGCCTATTTATGCATTTTTTCCCTCCTTCTAGAGAATTCTTCAATCATGAATCATTTAAAAAAAGTAATGTGTAAGCCTCTCATTTATCTCAAAGTGAACAGTCTAAATTTTATAAAGTGTAGAATTAAGTTTAATATAAAGAAGTACAATTTATTACGAATTAAAAAATTAATAATAATAATAATATTTTTGTATGTTCGGTTGAAAAGTTCAATTAAAATCGTGATAACAATTTTAATTTCAAAAATTCATTTAAATACGATGATAATATATTAAAGGAAAGGGGAAAAAATAATTGTTTGTAAATGTTTGGATATGAAATTCGAAGATAAAATTTTAATAGAAATTTACGAGGAATGTTTTTGTTTCATTCTTTTTTTTATTATTATTATTAATTCTCGAATTCTTTGTATTGAATTTATGAAGAAGAGAAAATTAATAATAGGATAAATCAACAATGAGACTTTTAAATTAAAATGAAACAAAAAAGACTGATTAAAGATTTATTCCGTAATTTCCAATTTTTTTTAAATACCGATTCGATTATGTTTGTGATGATTTTAGTTTTATAAAAACTTTAATTAATGTTTTAAGGTAGGAAATTCGATAAAATCAAGACGAACTTATCCATTTCTTCTCCGACTTAACTATTCTCTAACTTTACTATTGACAAAATATAGTACAGTACAGGTACATATATATAGGTTAAAAAGCAAGTCTTTTGAAAGGGCATACAAAGAAAAGGGATCAAAATCTCTAAACATCCTGTTTTTGAGTCAAAAAAGCATGCAATTTTATCTTGACAAAGGCTCCGACAATGGCCGAAAACTACGGCGACAGACATGAAGAATTTTAATAAAACTTCATATACTTAAATGCGAAACAAAATTAGATGAACAAAATAAAATTTTAATTTTTAAAATGAATTTATTAAGAAGTTCATCGAATATTTACTCGAAAATGAGATTGACCTAAATGGCCTACCTCATTTTGAATATCGAGATGCTTTTAAAATTCAAATATAAGCGAGAAAATTTATTCACAACTTCAAAAGCCTCTAATGCATTTTAAATTTACAAACTCTTGGAAATAATATTATATACCGATAGTTTTGTAGCTTAAGTAAACATTATAAAAATTAATTTGTATTTGATATTTAAATATCGGTTTCTTAAGACGTCGGATAAAACAAAAATCGGCAAACAATTCCTCGCCTATGCATTACTCATTAAGTAAAACGGATATTTATTGATATAAACAGTGTTTCGAGATGTGAATTGTTTTCATTATCAATAAATTGTACAGACAGAGATATCAATTAAGAGATGCAAATTAGAAATAATTTAGTTGAATCAGTTTAATTAATACGGTATCGATTACAATAAAGTGTTGGAGCTTAACGTCGCTACAATTTGCTTTGTCGTCTTCTAATATTAAAACTATTTGAAAAAATTGATGTAAGAAACACTTTTAAATCTTATAATATTGTTATCAGTATATAATTTTAGTTTCACTTGCTCTAGTTATTGACTTTTGATATTGTTTATTCTCAGAGGCTCCTGCATCGAATCATCTCCATTAGAATAACCCGAGTGTTTAACTAGCTAAGTCCATGATTAGATATACAAACGAGGCTAACAGTTTTTCTTTCAATTAGCTATTAGTTCGATAGGATACAATCATAGGAGAGTTAATGAATTCTGCTGCGTGGAGAGAGACTACATCAGAAGTGGGTTGGTAGCTAATTGAATGACAGAGGTGTGGGTCTAGTCACACAGATAACACTAACCAACACACCATTGCAATTTGGATGAGTGGCCTGATGTAATTTCCATTTGAAGCGGCGAGCTGTCCCGGTGAAAGGGCCTGTCATAACAACGTGTGTGGAGACACAGCCTGGCAGGTCCGTCCCACCAACACTCTTGCGTTGAATCGTCAATTGAAACTGTCACCGGCAGCACCCATTGCATTATGTGGATGTGTTAGTGTGGAGAAAAACAGACGCATGTTATATACTACTGTACTGTTTCTGTATTACATTGAGGGAGGATAGAAATAAATTACTTTTCTCCGGCCGAACGAGGCTACAGGTGTTTGCCGAGGTGTTTTTTACCGATTCTAATAGGAAAAAAATCGATTTTTCCTGCAACATCTCTTTATTTATAGGCACACAACAGTTACAATTAAACACTGAATTAACCATAGAAAATAAACTAAGATGCGGTCACGTTTATAAATTAAATTACTATTTTTTTTATAATTTAGATTTACCGATCAATTAGAGATTTATCTACATCACAGAATGCTACAAGTGACCATCGACGACAGTTAGCCTACTGAAAGGTGGCTGGACTTTTCCTTTCGCTTTCGGAAGATGACAGGTCTTGTGGTGACTGCTCTGGAGGACAAGAGGTCCAGTTGTCAGTAGCCATCAGACGAGGACCTTTCTTTCGACTCAGGTCAGGGTCGAGAGAGGACACGGGGGGTAGTCCACTAACAACTGATGTGCCAAAGAGAGAGGGATAAGCGGGAGTCGTTGAGATCCCGGGGAAGAATCCGGCATACGTTGGCACGGTTAGCAGTCCTCGAGGTGTTCCTGTTGCAGAATAAGGACGTCGAAATGGCGGTGCAGCCATGGCAAGAGCCGTGGATGGAGTGGACATTGAAAATACGGAAGTGAAGCTGGTTGTTGTGGAAAAAGACCCAACTTCTGGCACGGTAGAACAGGTCAAGGGCTCTAACTGATGATCTTTGCTCACATTCAGTTCTTTACCCGGAGATAAGGGAGGACGAACGGCTAGATGAGCAGCGGCCCGAGATCCCAATATTTGCTCGATAGCTTGTAGTACGTCGCCGTTGGTTTTCTGCAGAGCCAAACTCAAGACTCTTCTATTTTCGTTGGGAAAGATCCTTGCCAGTATCTCTAAAGGTGGTTTTCTTGTTTTCATGGCTAGTCCTTCTGCTAAGTTGAATTCCTGCTTGCGGTCATTTTCTCTTTCCTCACAAACTGATGCCGGGGAAGGGTTACTTCCTGCATCCGAACTAGCGCTTTCTACGTGTTGAGAATTTTCATCTTCCAATGTTAAAGATTCGTGAAGTTTAGGATTTTCCGATTTAGGAGAATGCTCCGATGTTTTTGCCCGTTTCCATTCTGTAAAACACGAGAAATTTAAATATTTATTTATCATCCATTTTATAATAAAATTTTTATATTAAAATATAGTTTATAAACTATCTCTTATATCATTCATTATATTTGAATGTCGTAATACATACATTTTTATTGAATAAGCTCGAATATCAGCTAAATAAAGTTAGTTTTCTCAGCAGATTATAAACAAAACGTTATCGTAATATTTATTTAATATTTAAAAATTAATCTTAAAATTAACATTCGATTTAATTTATAATTTTCCTACAATTCAGATTTAAAACCTATTATATTTATAATTAACTCTAAATGAAAGTTTAAAGGAAAGAATTTCGCATTTGAAACAATATAATAAACAATAAAGTTGTAGTGTATATAGAGCTAATATAGGCCTACTCTTTGCACACTGTATTTATTTATATATTTCCAAAAATTGTGTTGATTTGAATTAAATAAATCTGAATTAATTTACTAAATTTAAAATTGCTTATTCAATTAGAATATAATAAAACCGAATTCGGTTGTATTTCAACGATAAAGTTGGATTAATTTGAATGTTCAAACTTATCAAAAACCACAGAAGAATTTTTCGAATGTGAAAAATTTGATAAATATTTTGCAAATCAGAGGAAAAATAAGTATCGAATTAAAAAACCAACAACCTTGGTTTTTGTGTAGCAATCAATGAGTGCGGATCCCGAGGCAGAGGATGCTGAATCTGACAAATGTGACAGATTCCCTCGCGGGAGCGTGCTGTCACCTCTGTGCGGTGTGTGGGAGGAGGCGCCGACAGCACGTGCAGGCCGGATGTTATTGATAGTCTCGACTACACCCTCCTCGTGCCGGCAGACATCCCAACTACAGCCGTCACAGATGTCTTGACACTGCGCACGGCTGAAGAAGTGGCAATTGGTTTTTTTCTTTGGCCAGAATGTCAACGATTTATTTCACGCATCTTCTGTTTCTTCGCTGTCAACTTCAGATCATCATTTAGCCAACGTACACACGACAACAAGTCTTTGCCACACCGCCAATAGGTGTTGGCTTTCTTTACCACCTGTGACGAGTCTGAAAAATGACTCTGCATTGATCGTTGGCATTCCTGTTGAGTTTTTCGTTTTCGTTAAAAGAACACTGGATGAGTTGTCATCTTTTTTACAAGTGCAGACAGTTCTTAATAATACAATCTTCTATTAACTGAGTAAAAGTTGGCGAAACAAGAGCCTGGGTGTTGTCAGATCGGCCATTTCGTTTTCTTTTAACAACTACTAACTTAATGAAAACGGTTTCACGCATAAGAAACTGACTGTTCCATATATCTTATACATAAAAAATAAATAAATACTGCATTTGCTATAGGCTATCTGAATCGAAAGAAGTAGGCCGAATAAATTCTGAAAGAATCAAAACTAATTTTCACAGAATTTAAATTAAATTATCCAGGTTATATCTGGATCCATAAAAGCTTAGAACAGGGTTATGAAATTATAATTAAATATTTTATTTTCAATGAATTATTAATCAAAATCTCAAAATTAAGTTTATTTTAAACTTTAAAGAGAATATAAAAGGAACGATCTACTAGAAATTAAAACTATTATCAGAATTATTAGGCCTATTGTTATTTAAATCTTTTGGAGTTTAAAATTATATTTGTATGCGAGTTATAATAGGCTGTATATTTTGTAATTAATTTTAACCAAGTCTTCTAGCTTACGTGATCTTAGTTTAGCTTAGTTATTTAGAGCAAAATCTAGAGTAGGGTAAGTAGTCTATCACAACTTAAGATCTTGATAAACTGAAATTAATTACAAAAAAAAATTTTAATTTAACTGTGTATACTATATAAAAACGAGAAATAAAACTGGATTTAAATATATTTTAAAATTTAATTTAAAAATATCTGCTAGAAATATAGAGCCTAAGCTTGTTAAGAACACAGAGCAAAGCCTGAATTAAACAATCTTAAATATATTCCGTGTTTTATGTGGGTTATTTATTAATTTAACGAACTATAACTTACTTATGTTCTTTATATTTTTCAAATCTATTCTTGAAACTTTATTAAAGATCTCCGTGTTTTATAGATTTATAAAAGCAGATATTTGTAATCATTAACATTCAGTTACATCCAGATCAGTTATTAAAGAGTAAAAAGTAGGCTAATCCCGCCTATTTGGGGAACATATTATAATGAAATCACTTTTCATAGGGCTAAAATTTTCTTTTAAAGCGAAATTAAAATTTTAAAGATTAATAGACCCAAACATAAAAGTAATCCTTATGCATTCGTTATCGAATGTCAAGATATTTAAATAATAAATAATAGAATATATTATACTATATATCAGAGATAATATAACAGAGAAATAAGTCTAAACTGTTTAAATTAGCATTTAATCTACGATAATCTACGGTTAAATGGTATAGAGACGTATAGGAAGCAGACAACACACATATTCTATTTTATATAATAGATAACAACGTGTAATTTAGCTTCAATTGAGAACTGTACAGAAGCAAGTTGATTCCATTTAATATTAAATAATCGCAGAATAAAAATTTTTGTAATAATTTAAAATAATTATAAGGCACTAAATGTTATCTTTGGCTGGATAAAAATTAATCGAAAATTTTATCCACCCTCAAAACCGATGGAGAGAGAGAGGGAGACAGTAGAAATACAATTATAAATCGCCTACTAATGAACAAACCTACAGGAATGTAACAAATCAATTTTTCAGACTAAATTAAGAGTGACGTCATAGAGAAACCACCCAAATTGAAAATTGACCATTTATCAATTGGATTAGTCCCGTGGGAAAATAGCTAGGAGCTTGGCTGGCAACAGTCGTCGCAGCAGGCATCCAACAATAGAGTGTTCAAAAGCAGACAGATTACCAGAGGTCACCATATCACTCTGATTACTCATTACAGGGGGGACAGACTCATTTAGGTACTGAAAAAAAACGCAGGAGGAAAAAAAAGAGTCAGCGAAGTAGTGGGATCGATCGGCCACAAGAGATACACGCTAATGAAGCCTGCTGAATGGTCTGCTGTTAATAACTCCGGTATGTGTGGTATGTGACGCATACCTGCTAACTCCAACGCTTCTTCTATTTCTTTGTCAATGGATATAGGATAGATCATAACAAACTTTCACTTATTACACACAAGGGTCAGTTTACTCTGCTGTCACACATGCTCTATTGTTAGTGACCTAGACAAGGAGAAATCGTCATATGGCATTCCACATTCTGTCTTTTGTCCCGAAGCGTCGCCTTATCCAGCTATATAACTATATCGATTATTAAATTTTTGTCGTGTCTTCGATATGAACTTTCGCGCTACTCAATTTATCATGGTTGTTGTGCGGACGATGAAACTGCCAACCGTCCCAAGTCTGCGGTTACATGCACACCATTAATATTGCATTTTATTACAGGCAGACCGGAGCGTGTCATATGTCAAAGCTAACGACAATAGCTTCACCTCCATTTCCATCTGCTAGGCTTCATGTGCGGACTTTAATAAACGCCTTCTTAAATCTCCTTCAGAAGTCAGTTAAAGCATTTTTCAAAAAGAAGTTAGCCTCCTTCATCTTTCCATTACTACGGTACTGTGGCATTTATTAAAAGTTGTAATGTTGTCATTGTTGAGGGATGTGTCACAATAGCCTATCTCTCCTCCCAATTTAATTTTGCCTCGATAATTTGATAGATCTTATATTGTACAAAATGATATTGCGCTTTCGGGGAGAACATATATTTTATATATATATATATATATATAGACCTATTAAAGTGTTTTATTTAGTTCCGAAAGTTGAAATTACTGAGTTTCACATCAATAACTTTAAGACGTCTATAAAATTTTTCATTTTAAATTTTATAGTTCCTGTATATTTTTCTCATTAATTATCTGCTGAATTCATTTTTTAATATATATATATATTTAATTTTGTAACATTATTTTTACTTATATGTATGGAATTTAATAATGAAAGAACTCTTACCTATATACGACTTAATTTATTAAGAGCGAGACACTCAACAGATTAATTTCTTTAATAAATGAAGTCAGGAAAATATTTTCTGATCAAATAAAGCGATGATAGTGAATTACTATTTGATCTGCATTTTTAATTAACTCGAACATTATCGTATCGAGTTTTAATAAGTAGAAAAATCGAAGATAGACCTATTTCGAATTTTAATGAGCAAAATATTTCAACTGTTTTCTTTTATCATTTTATATAAAAATTTAATTGTCTACACATCTTTTCTAGGTCAATTCGATTAAATTTTTAAATTAAAAATTAACAGTAAAAAAATTTGAAATTTTTTACATATTCTTTAACAGCTGTTAATAATGTTTTCGTGGTCAAACAGTAATTATTATAAAATTTCCCGTTGTATCCTATCACTTTTATATAAAATTTCCCGTTGTAACTTTTATAGCTTATTCCTGTCACTTTTATATAAAGTGACAGGAATAAGCTATATGATTGGAGTATATGAAAGATCGTCACTTTATATAAAAGGGTTAATTTTTCATATAAAGTTATCACTTTCATACGAAGTAATAACTTTACACGAAAGTCCCTGTTTCTCTTATATAAAATGATAAGGAAAGATTTAAGAATTTATAATTTGTTAGCTATTTTTAAAACTACAGAACTATAGAAAAGGACTATAGAAAAGAGTGAAACTTTTTATAGGAATTAAAAATAATCCTAGAAGAGAGAGCGTATACAAAATACGATTCTTTATTATTTTTCCTTGTTTTTAATTGGGCATATTGTACTTTAGTTGGATAAGGTAATCAGAGCCATCATCAAATCTCAGCCTATTTCTGTAAGTCGAATGTTTGAAATTTTTCTGAAACTAAATTTAATTTATTTTCATTGAAATTGTTACGAAAATAAAGGTTTTGGTAAGGAATATAAAATACAGATGATAGAACTAATTGATTGTATTGTTGTTATTTGTGTAAGGGGAAGCCAAACCCAGGTTTTGAATCAGGTCGGAGTGAATGAATAGTTGGTATGTGACGAATATGGAAATAATTATTGACAAGCCAAGAGGCCTGAGATGAACAGCATGAAGTTTCGCGGTTTCTTGTACTTCGCGTAAAAAGTTTTAACGGTTTGTAACGCCCAAAACACATTCTTACAGCTGTATATATATTTCTCTTTCATTCGCCCCATCTATTCACTTTTTTTTCTCTCTTCTATTACTTCTGTTCATCCTCCTCCTTTTCATTCGCTGTCAATAGCAACATGTAAGCCTATTAATGTTATATACTCAGCTAGGAGGTCTATTGAGTGTTCAAAACAACGTTACCTCTTATGGATTTATTGAAAACGGACTCTTTAAGTCTGGGTGACTGAGCGAGGGAAAGAAAGACTCTTGAAAATCCACGGGTCCCTGCTCCTACAATAGTTTTGTCACATGACGAGGGTACCTCACATCTCCAATACTACTTCAAGCAGCCATCTTGGGCGACAGGTCACATCAGCGCCATCTTTCGGCAAGTGTTTGCATCATATGGGCAACTTTATATCTTTTCTTTCATAGATGCGCACCCATTCTGCTTTTGACGACAGGAGGTGGAGCCGGGATGAAGGGACCATTGTAGCCTGCACAATATGACTACTCCACACCGCGGGGTATAGCCTCTGTAATTATTTATAGGTTTGAAGTACTTTGCTTTAGTCAGACTGTTGTAGGTACTGTGACAGTTTGGGACCCACCTCTATTGAGTTATAAAGAAAGCACCGTGACGCCAACGAAAAAGAGAGATAAAGGAAAAGAGCCCCCTCAAGATGGTCTCGTCAAAGTGTCCGGGGATTTCCTCCCGCCCCAATTATGTGACACTAGATGGGACGAGGACGTGACAGCTGTCCCAGATAGAATGATGGACTTGTGAAGTCACAAAAGAAAGTTACAAATTAATCCACTTTATAGAGTCTGTCTGCGATGTCCCGATGGCGTCCTCGAGTGTTTGACCAAGTGGATTGGTATTTCGGCACCTTTCTACTTTTATAAATGAATTTAAACCATTCACATTTATGCAATGTCTATTTCCAGTTCCAAAGGCCACTTTAAAGTCTTATTTCCTACATTAAATGATATAGCATGAAAGTCACTTATTTCCTAAGCTCTTTCTATCTGCAAAGTCCTTTTAAAAGTGCCCTTATTCTTTCAAATTTTTAACATTTTAAACATAGTTTAAATTTATCCATAAAACTATGTTTAGCATAAGGATTCGTCAGGTGAATATCTAAAATCAAACTGTTTCTATATAGTATTTTTGCCTAGAAAACTTATATACTTATAAATAAATTAATAATTAAAAAAAATTAATTATAAACCTATATAAAAATTAAATTTATTTCATTAAAATTAACTTTATAATTGTTTATATCGGATGCTTAAGAAAACTTATTAAATACAAGTTTACGAGCTAAAAAATGCAATAGTTAATTATTTAATTAATTAATTTAACTATTATAATAAACTTACATCATTTTACTTTATAATAACAATTAAATTTCTGTTAATACTTTTCTTTCTTAAGAATCTGATGTGATAATTTATGTCATGTTTGCTTAATGCGTAGCAGAATATTCGAATATATATAAATAATCGTAAATATTAATATAAATATTGTATAAAAAATAACAATATGATCCACTTCCGCTCAATATTTTACTTGTGGATTTTCGCCAGCCTTTATCTTTTATTTTTTTGAACTACAGCAAACCCTACAGGCTCACTTCAGGGCAATGAAGCCACAATAGCCAATATATATTTGAATATTTTTTTTTTATTTTTAAGTATTTCTATTCTATTTTAAAATAAATTCTATATCTTTTTATTTTAACTATTTTATATTTAAATCTTAATATGGCATTCAAATCTTACAATTTTCATTCTAAACTTTAATATTAAAGCGAAAAAAAAAAGACTCGAGAACAAACCAATTTTCGACTTTATGATGTATTTTGCTTTAGTTTTCCTTATTTAGATTTGTATTTCGTGAAAATATACAAAAGAAAATGATATAAGAATGAATTTTATCGGTTATTTTAATAGTTTTTTCCACGAAGCATTTATATAATTTAGATTTATTCATACGTATAATATTCTACAGTTATACTTAAGTTGTTACAAATCTAGTTTACAAATACAATTACAAGATTTTCTAAACAATTTAAAGAATTAATTAAAAGATGGATAGCTTTAAATTCTTGTAAGATTGCTAATTTTGCTAGAATTTGTATTGTAAACATCGCTTTAAAATTCTTCCGTATCTGAAAAGAGCGTTATGATTATCAGTGTAGAAGTTTTACTAGTTATTTACCGAAGAAGAGAGGGGAAAAATCGTTTTTATTAAGTATCCAGATGGATAAACACATGGTGTGCAGTGATTTATAGCTAAAGGCGAGTAGGCGTACAAAGCAGTAAAATTACAATCGAATGAAAAGACCCTTTTCGATATGGATACATCATTATGATATCGAAATCCATTCAAGTCTGGTTAAACAGACGGGCTTAGTCTATACCTGTTACATTCTTGCATTTGCATATTAATTACTGATATTAGTTGATAGCCAGAGGGTAGGTAAGCTAGTCTCATCTGCAAGTGATTCGCAAACGAATATAAATAGCCTGTTCTATTTTGTTAACTTGTGAGCAATTTCTTTAGTGCAACTGGCGAAAATCTTGTAAATTTGATCTTTACTCCAACCGGATTTCGATTTTCCACTCGAAGAGAACTTCTTTAGGATTTTTCGGCTAGACAAAATCGAATATTGATTACATCAAAGTGATTACTCACCGGGTTCGTTGGTATCTGCGGTGCTACTAGGCGAAGGCTCGTCATCACCCGAAGTCTGCCCTTTCCTTCCAGACAGTAAATGAGCCATGGCAGCCGAAAAAGTAAAGCCCGCCCGATGCATGGCTAAAAGTCCTTCGTGGCAACCGTATAACAAACTCAGCTCGCGCGCTTCGTTCTCCTCCTGAGCCTGCTGTCGCCTTAAGGCTACTTGAGCCGCCATCACTCGTTGTCTTTCGGCAATTAAGGTGCATTTAGCACAGACGCAATCTCTCCATCTACAGTATCGTTTATGTCCCTTCAGGGCCGACACCACTCCGTGATTTCGACATCTAGCACACTTCGGCGTTCTCTGGTATCTCTCGGCAGACCTTAACAGTATTCCCGCGGGTGGTACGGGAGACATGACACCACCCGGTGAAGCGTCGTTAGAAGGTCCCGGGGACCTGTTGAGACCGAAGAGGCTTTCGGCTGGGCGTGCCATACAATCTTGGTCAATCGGTGGTGCTTGTGTCAGCTCTGGATGCTATGGAACCACTTTATAAGTGACGCCTGACACAAGAACCAATCAGTGACGAGTATACGCCCTAAAGCTGTCGTAACTGCAACAAGTCGATAGACTTACTTTATTGAATTCTGCTATCTGATTGGTTGGTCTCTTACTGTTGGGTTTAATTCTGACCGATCTCTTCCAGATCGTTATTGATCTCTTAATGCTTTTGTGTCCAAAACTATTCTTAAACGTTCCTCTAATGCTCTTAATTTTATATAACCCAATAAAAACTTGCCACCGATACAAAGGTAGTGTACAGAGTTTCCAAGTACTCTACAAAGAACGGGTTGCAGATCGCATTTTAAACGATTCCGCATAGAATATAATCATTAAAAAATTTTTTAAATGCTCATATTTTGTTAAAATTATAAATTTAAACGAATTTTTTTTTTATTTAATTAAATTACAACTCAGTTAGCTGTTTAAAATCGAGTTAAAGTTTGATTTAAAATTGTATTCTAATGACATTGAAGATTTGATAAATTAATTCAAAAAATATATTTAGTTTGTAATAAAATTATGAAGAATATAACAGAAAATTTAATTTAGAAATTATTTGTATAAAATTATAGATTTTAGAATCATTTTAAAGCGAAGTATCGACGTATAGAAATGTTAAACGTTGCGGCATCTTAGGCAATGAGAATGTCGACAAAGAAGGTGATTTTCTTTAAATACTTAATTTTGTTTACCATAAAAAGCAAATTTAAATTTTTAATAAATGTTAGAATGTGTCGAGAGAATAAAGAATATTAAAAGAGCACATGAGAACAATGTGTTCATCAGCATAGAAAGAAAAGCAAAAATGGGAAGGAACGACGATATTTTTTTTGTCTCCTCATTTAGGATAGTTGATGTCCACTTTCATAAACAGATAATTAATTAAAGTGAAATAATTATATATTCATTTGCCACCAGCACCTACACAATATAATATCAACAGTGTAATTGAAATAGTTATGCAAATCCGTCCAGAAATGAATGACGTTCTCAACAATATTAAAACGGAAAGATGGACAAAGGTACTGTACATTAACATGACAAAGTGAAATTTCTGCATAATACTTCAAAGTTTTGTAGAAAGAAAAATAATTCCAGATAAAATAAGCGCTTTTCTCGTTTAAAAGCTACTGATACCTTTATTTGAAAACCTCTAGGAATTTTCATTTATAATTAAAAGAATAGTAGCAATTATCTCTCTCTATGTAAGTAATCAATAAAATAATAGGACTGGAGAATATTTTTCTAGCAACTTCTGTTAGAGGAATTCCGGATGAGATTGGAATGTCCAGGTGTGTTGTCTGCTAATTGTACGTGATAGACAATGTCTAGGAATCTGCATCTCTGTCACCATCCCAAACAATACGATCCAATGGAAAGAGTAGGCTATTAGACTTCTCCATCAAAACAAGAATCTATTTTAATTAATTCCGAATTAATAATTTAATTATATGAATCTTAACACGTTTCTGATGAATTAAATATTAAAAATATTCTATTTACATACGAAACTTTCTTCATTTTTAATAATTACAATAAAATGTTATAAACTCATTTCAGTCGAATTTTATTCAATTATACTTAATCCAACTGCTTAAATCAACATTCAAATAAAATTACAATAGATTTATTTAAATATTTTCTTTAAAATTTATTATGTATAAACAATAATTTAGTTTAAATTTTATACGACTGAAAGAAAACAGCAGGCCTTTGTCTTCCAAAGTAACACAAACTTATATCAAATAACACATAACAGATATTAATTGAGTATGGATAGAAACTAAATAATAATCTCCAACTAAATAAAAAGTGCATTTAAATACTAAAATATATAAATATACATTATTTTTGTAAGATATATGAATAAAAAGATTAATATTATAGATTATAAATGTAGGCCTATATAGAAGGCAATAAAAATTACATTTCTGTAATTTTTTATAATCCAGTTTTGATAATAGTGTTCAAAAAATTCATCACACAGTAAGAATTGTTCGTGACCTATTTCCCGTTTTGACTAGAGTCTTGAATTTTTCAATTCAATTTACAGCGCTTACTTTCATATAACATTTATTTATTTTAAATTTATAATATAAAAAAATATAATATAATATAATATTAAAAATTTATAATTAATTAATTATAAATTCTTATAATTTTAATGATAATTAATGATTTTTTTTAAATATTAAGTCTCTATTTAAAAATATTAAAGTAGTAGTTCTAGTATATATTGTAAGGCTGTAAATTCTCATAATTCGATTAAAAATACTTATAAGTTATAGAAAAGTTAAAAATTTTAAAAATAATTCTCAATTTAATATTTTAAAAAATTTTAAATCATTAAACTTAATTTATCTAATTTTAAACCATCATTGTTCTGTATTAGTTATTATTGAGATAGATGTAATGATACATACGCCTATATATAGATGATAAAGCTTAAATGTACTGTACGGTCTTATTTAATCAATATCGTTTAAGTGAATAGACGATACACCATAGGCATTGTGATCTATTCTAATAGGTAAATTATGCTTTAATAATATGTACATAGTTTAATTATAAGTCTATTTTATATAAAAATTTTATTAGATAAAAATATCAGGTGAGATATAGCTGAAAGGCTAGTTTATGTAGCCTTTATGTTAATATAGAAACGAAATATCGTGATGCCAAAGGCCATATTGAAAGCATTCATGTTTTAACTCTTCAATCAATAAAGATAAGTTTGAAGTGTCAAGTAGGATGTTATCAGAGAGCTTTAACCTCCGAAAGTACTGTTAGAAACAGTAGCGAAATATTGATACTTCTCAATCAAAGACAGTGACTGTATTGATATATTATTTAGTACTGTTACTATCGGGTAAATATTGAGTTAAATAAAAACAGTTTTATGTTCTAGAATTTATTTAAATACTCAAAAATCTGACTTGACATATAATATTTTCATCAGATGTAATATGCCGCTATAATAGCCTACTGATGTTATTTTGTTATATATTTTTAATAAATTATAATTTAATGACTTTTACTAATTTTCTAACTGATAAGTTACTATGTAATGTACTGTACAGTACTATACCTACCTGATTTATTCATAGATAAAGCTATTAAGATATGATTTTCCATTTTAAGAAACTTCTAACTTACGCTATTTGTTAACTGTAGGCTATCAGAATTGCCATTTTATTATGCAAATTTAGAAAAAGTTGTATAGAATTACTTTAAATTTCTGCTGTATAATATGCTGTAAGGATTGTAACGATAAGTTAATTCTATAACTTCTAGAATATTTAAAATGTTTCTCTTTCAGCAGAAACAATACAAAATTTTAATAATTTACCTTATATTATTTCAAAATATTTACATTATGACTTCATTCAAAATAGTGAAGAAAGAATGAAGTTATTTAGACTTATAAGAGTAAAATTTGATTATTGATGAATAGGCCTACTATTTATGCACAATTAAATCTGCAAAATGTCTGTACAAAGAGTTGTAATATTAAAACGATAGATTACGAGAGTCATTTTGGTCTACATAATCTAACATTGATTATTTAAAGCAGTCTTTTAGATGACAATCCCGTTTTAACATACCGGAAGAAAGTGACATTCCCAGGAATACGATTCGCTACTTCCTTGGGGTCGCGATCTACTGGTTGAGAAAAAAAGATGTAGGCAATATTGTCGGATACATGAAAAGCTCGCAAATGTAATTTGTTATATAAATTATATACTGCATAATTGGCGTAGAGCTAAACAATGTATCATTCTGTAAGTTTGTCATTAAGTGAATACTCCATTTAAGCTTATAAGTTATGCAGACTTTTAAATTTAGAAAGTGGAGCTTCCCAAGTTTAAATGGAGATGACGATACGTTAACTGGATAGAATATAATATTAGTCGATATGAATTAATTTAATTACATAATGTCTAAACTCTTAAGTATTGTTTCTATTTTAAAATTTAGATCTACTTTTAAATTCGATTAGCTTAAGGACCATAAAATAAGTTTATTTTAAATTGCTTCATTATGTTTTTAAAGTAATTTAAACGTGTCCTAAACAAAGTTTTATGCTAATTATTTATTTTTAAGATTAATTGTCTTGAAATGTCGAGAAAAAAAATGACAAGATGACATTTTTAATTTATTTAACGACAGAATAATGCCCCCGAATCCAGTCTAAAAGCAGCGTGTAAAGTTATTCGAGTCGATCTGAACTCCATTCTTTTATTCGTAAACTTTCAATCGTGTTAAATTTGAAAAGACATGAAAGAAACTTTCATCAGTAGTTTGCATGCAACGAAGTTGTGTGCGGAGAATAATGAAGATGTAGACAGAAGGAGGAGTCGTCGGGACCATGTTGCTGCTAACATTGGAGTTGTTTATCCGACCGTATCAGATAGAGCGTCTCAATTCGCATAAATTTACAAAATTAACGGTTGACGTAAGCTTTACTTGTCAGAATCGTAAATAGATTTTATCATTTACTGTGCTTGTGTCACGGAAAGATTGACCAGTTGGGCTTGACAGGTAATTTCATTGGCAAAGACCCTGATACCAGCATTCAACTGTGGACGGTGCACAAAGCATTTCTGCCGACTTGACTTCGTACAATACGGCAACAAGGCAAGCTTCTGATTTGGCACTGCTTCCGTTATTGAAGACTTTCATATGTTCACTGACAACTGATAGCGAGTTTTGTTGACGGGACAAAAAATCAAGGCGCTTCTCATAATTCCTCACCGTTCCGGTAATTATAAGATGCCGTTTATCTAAACATTTTAAATATTTTCTATTGAGTGATAGCCGTTATTCGCTAATCTCTATGTTTCTTTTCTCATTATGATCATCCTCTCCTCTTCTACAAGTATCTTAAAGGAGTAACTTGCCGTTCCGCAATTCTCCTATCATCTACAAGTTTATTATTATTGAAAATCGTTTACTTTAACTTAATAAGTGATAAAAACTAAACCTTTTCTACTAATCTTTGCATAATTTCTGTTACTTAATATTTTACGATGAGTGGGATGCTAAACTTTATACGGCACACATTAAGCTTTAAGCTATCTTCCAGTGTATAAATGGTCCAGCGGATCTTTAAATTATTTATATATTAATTTTCAAAATTGCTAACTAACAGTTTTACGTGTCTGAAACTATAGAATAATTATGATTAATTCGACTAAATGATTTAAAAATCATTCGGTCTAATTGCTTAGATTACTCATTATTTTAGGTGAATTAATTGAATTATGGATCTCAATAGTTTAAAAACTGAATTCTGAAATCCCGATGGTTGATTAACTCTTAATTATAATATTAATTATCATATATAAACAATATACTTGTAAGAAAAATAAAGAAAATGGATTCCTAAAACGATCGGAATTTATGTAATATGCATATTAAATGTGGAAGCTAAATAAAGATTCATGTGAAATGAAGTCTTAACATAGGGAAGCCAACAAGAAGCTATATATTATTAATTGTGTTTCTTATACATTAAGTAAAAACAAACCTTTATTTATTTTTTTAAATTAATTTTTATTATATAAAAAATATAATATAATTTTTTAATATTGTTTTTCTTTTTTATAAAACAGTGGAGATTCAAAACGTTAAGTGAACCGATCTGTGAGACGTTCTAATGATGATAAAGTAATTAAAATTATAAGTAATTCCACGGAAAACCGTTTTGTAGGAAAATCTAAGTTTAATCCTACAGAATTTCTGTTAAATTTCTGAAGATGATTTTGTAATATTATCTAATTCTTTAAGCATAAAAGTTATTGTTTAGAATACTAACAATATGTTATTTTTCCTCTATTTATTTCTGAGAATATCTTTCTAAAGGGAATGCGGTATCATCCGATTTTAATTTTCTATATTTCTGAATGTCTAGTGCTAAGAGATGAAAGAATTTCAATATATTTATCCAATGAACGCCTACATATTTTCTGTTAGAATTGAAAGTAATTGAAAAAATATTCTTATATATCTCTGATGTAATTCTATGCCTTGCTTCTCTACTTTATTTAACTTTGAAAGGGAATTTTCTATTACAGTATTGATTTTTATCAAATTGTTATGAGAAATAACACTTAAAGGATTTCGAATTAATTTATTTTACGTAATAAATTAAAAATAATATGCAGTTCGACATATAAGACANGGAATCTGCATCTCTGTCACCATCCCAAACAATACGATCCAATGGAAAGAGTAGGCTATTAGACTTCTCCATCAAAACAAGAATCTATTTTAATTAATTCCGAATTAATAATTTAATTATATGAATCTTAACACGTTTCTGATGAATTAAATATTAAAAATATTCTATTTACATACGAAACTTTCTTCATTTTTAATAATTACAATAAAATGTTATAAACTCATTTCAGTCGAATTTTATTCAATTATACTTAATCCAACTGCTTAATTTATATAATTTAGATTTATTCATACGTATAATATTCTACAGTTATACTTAAGTTGTTACAAATCTAGTTTACAAATACAATTACAAGATTTTCTAAACAATTTAAAGAATTAATTAAAAGATGGATAGCTTTAAATTCTTGTAAGATTGCTAATTTTGCTAGAATTTGTATTGTAAACATCGCTTTAAAATTCTTCCGTATCTGAAAAGAGCGTTATGATTATCAGTGTAGAAGTTTTACTAGTTATTTACCGAAGAAGAGAGGGGAAAAATCGTTTTTATTAAGTATCCAGATGGATAAACACATGGTGTGCAGTGATTTATAGCTAAAGGCGAGTAGGCGTACAAAGCAGTAAAATTACAATCGAATGAAAAGACCCTTTTCGATATGGATACATCATTATGATATCGAAATCCATTCAAGTCTGGTTAAACAGACGGGCTTAGTCTATACCTGTTACATTCTTGCATTTGCATATTAATTACTGATATTAGTTGATAGCCAGAGGGTAGGTAAGCTAGTCTCATCTGCAAGTGATTCGCAAACGAATATAAATAGCCTGTTCTATTTTGTTAACTTGTGAGCAATTTCTTTAGTGCAACTGGCGAAAATCTTGTAAATTTGATCTTTACTCCAACCGGATTTCGATTTTCCACTCGAAGAGAACTTCTTTAGGATTTTTCGGCTAGACAAAATCGAATATTGATTACATCAAAGTGATTACTCACCGGGTTCGTTGGTATCTGCGGTGCTACTAGGCGAAGGCTCGTCATCACCCGAAGTCTGCCCTTTCCTTCCAGACAGTAAATGAGCCATGGCAGCCGAAAAAGTAAAGCCCGCCCGATGCATGGCTAAAAGTCCTTCGTGGCAACCGTATAACAAACTCAGCTCGCGCGCTTCGTTCTCCTCCTGAGCCTGCTGTCGCCTTAAGGCTACTTGAGCCGCCATCACTCGTTGTCTTTCGGCAATTAAGGTGCATTTAGCACAGACGCAATCTCTCCATCTACAGTATCGTTTATGTCCCTTCAGGGCCGACACCACTCCGTGATTTCGACATCTAGCACACTTCGGCGTTCTCTGGTATCTCTCGGCAGACCTTAACAGTATTCCCGCGGGTGGTACGGGAGACATGACACCACCCGGTGAAGCGTCGTTAGAAGGTCCCGGGGACCTGTTGAGACCGAAGAGGCTTTCGGCTGGGCGTGCCATACAATCTTGGTCAATCGGTGGTGCTTGTGTCAGCTCTGGATGCTATGGAACCACTTTATAAGTGACGCCTGACACAAGAACCAATCAGTGACGAGTATACGCCCTAAAGCTGTCGTAACTGCAACAAGTCGATAGACTTACTTTATTGAATTCTGCTATCTGATTGGTTGGTCTCTTACTGTTGGGTTTAATTCTGACCGATCTCTTCCAGATCGTTATTGATCTCTTAATGCTTTTGTGTCCAAAACTATTCTTAAACGTTCCTCTAATGCTCTTAATTTTATATAACCCAATAAAAACTTGCCACCGATACAAAGGTAGTGTACAGAGTTTCCAAGTACTCTACAAAGAACGGGTTGCAGATCGCATTTTAAACGATTCCGCATAGAATATAATCATTAAAAAATTTTTTAAATGCTCATATTTTGTTAAAATTATAAATTTAAACGAATTTTTTTTTTATTTAATTAAATTACAACTCAGTTAGCTGTTTAAAATCGAGTTAAAGTTTGATTTAAAATTGTATTCTAATGACATTGAAGATTTGATAAATTAATTCAAAAAATATATTTAGTTTGTAATAAAATTATGAAGAATATAACAGAAAATTTAATTTAGAAATTATTTGTATAAAATTATAGATTTTAGAATCATTTTAAAGCGAAGTATCGACGTATAGAAATGTTAAACGTTGCGGCATCTTAGGCAATGAGAATGTCGACAAAGAAGGTGATTTTCTTTAAATACTTAATTTTGTTTACCATAAAAAGCAAATTTAAATTTTTAATAAATGTTAGAATGTGTCGAGAGAATAAAGAATATTAAAAGAGCACATGAGAACAATGTGTTCATCAGCATAGAAAGAAAAGCAAAAATGGGAAGGAACGACGATATTTTTTTTGTCTCCTCATTTAGGATAGTTGATGTCCACTTTCATAAACAGATAATTAATTAAAGTGAAATAATTATATATTCATTTGCCACCAGCACCTACACAATATAATATCAACAGTGTAATTGAAATAGTTATGCAAATCCGTCCAGAAATGAATGACGTTCTCAACAATATTAAAACGGAAAGATGGACAAAGGTACTGTACATTAACATGACAAAGTGAAATTTCTGCATAATACTTCAAAGTTTTGTAGAAAGAAAAATAATTCCAGATAAAATAAGCGCTTTTCTCGTTTAAAAGCTACTGATACCTTTATTTGAAAACCTCTAGGAATTTTCATTTATAATTAAAAGAATAGTAGCAATTATCTCTCTCTATGTAAGTAATCAATAAAATAATAGGACTGGAGAATATTTTTCTAGCAACTTCTGTTAGAGGAATTCCGGATGAGATTGGAATGTCCAGGTGTGTTGTCTGCTAATTGTACGTGATAGACAATGTCTAGGAATCTGCATCTCTGTCACCATCCCAAACAATACGATCCAATGGAAAGAGTAGGCTATTAGACTTCTCCATCAAAACAAGAATCTATTTTAATTAATTCCGAATTAATAATTTAATTATATGAATCTANCTGCTAATTGTACGTGATAGACAATGTCTAGGAATCTGCATCTCTGTCACCATCCCAAACAATACGATCCAATGGAAAGAGTAGGCTATTAGACTTCTCCATCAAAACAAGAATCTATTTTAATTAATTCCGAATTAATAATTTAATTATATGAATCTTAACACGTTTCTGATGAATTAAATATTAAAAATATTCTATTTACATACGAAACTTTCTTCATTTTTAATAATTACAATAAAATGTTATAAACTCATTTCAGTCGAATTTTATTCAATTATACTTAATCCTACTGCTTAAATCAACATTCAAATAAAATTACAATAGATTTATTTAAATATTTTCTTTAAAATTTATTATGTATAAACAATAATTTAGTTTAAATTTTATACGACTGAAAGAAAACAGCAGGCCTTTGTCTTCCAAAGTAACACAAACTTATATCAAATAACACATAACAGATATTAATTGAGTATGGATAGAAACTAAATAATAATCTCCAACTAAATAAAAAGTGCATTTAAATACTAAAATATATAAATATACATTATTTTTGTAAGATATATGAATAAAAAGATTAATATTATAGATTATAAATGTAGGCCTATATAGAAGGCAATAAAAATTACATTTCTGTAATTTTTTATAATCCAGTTTTGATAATAGTGTTCAAAAAATTCATCACACAGTAAGAATTGTTCGTGACCTATTTCCCGTTTTGACTAGAGTCTTGAATTTTTCAATTCAATTTACAGCGCTTACTTTCATATAACATTTATTTATTTTAAATTTATAATATAAAAAAATATAATATAATATAATATTAAAAATTTATAATTAATTAATTATAAATTCTTATAATTTTAATGATAATTAATGATTTTTTTTAAATATTAAGTCTCTATTTAAAAATATTAAAGTAGTAGTTCTAGTATATATTGTAAGGCTGTAAATTCTCATAATTCGATTAAAAATACTTATAAGTTATAGAAAAGTTAAAAATTTTAAAAATAATTCTCAATTTAATATTTTAAAAAATTTTAAATCATTAAACTTAATTTATCTAATTTTAAACCATCATTGTTCTGTATTAGTTATTATTGAGATAGATGTAATGATACATACGCCTATATATAGATGATAAAGCTTAAATGTACTGTACGGTCTTATTTAATCAATATCGTTTAAGTGAATAGACGATACACCATAGGCATTGTGATCTATTCTAATAGGTAAATTATGCTTTAATAATATGTACATAGTTTAATTATAAGTCTATTTTATATAAAAATTTTATTAGATAAAAATATCAGGTGAGATATAGCTGAAAGGCTAGTTTATGTAGCCTTTATGTTAATATAGAAACGAAATATCGTGATGCCAAAGGCCATATTGAAAGCATTCATGTTTTAACTCTTCAATCAATAAAGATAAGTTTGAAGTGTCAAGTAGGATGTTATCAGAGAGCTTTAACCTCCGAAAGTACTGTTAGAAACAGTAGCGAAATATTGATACTTCTCAATCAAAGACAGTGACTGTATTGATATATTATTTAGTACTGTTACTATCGGGTAAATATTGAGTTAAATAAAAACAGTTTTATGTTCTAGAATTTATTTAAATACTCAAAAATCTGACTTGACATATAATATTTTCATCAGATGTAATATGCCGCTATAATAGCCTACTGATGTTATTTTGTTATATATTTTTAATAAATTATAATTTAATGACTTTTACTAATTTTCTAACTGATAAGTTACTATGTAATGTACTGTACAGTACTATACCTACCTGATTTATTCATAGATAAAGCTATTAAGATATGATTTTCCATTTTAAGAAACTTCTAACTTACGCTATTTGTTAACTGTAGGCTATCAGAATTGCCATTTTATTATGCAAATTTAGAAAAAGTTGTAGAGAATTACTTTAAATTTTTGCTGTATAATATGCTATAAGGACTGTAACGATAAGTTAATTCTATAACTTCTAGAATATTTAAAATGTTTCTCTTTCAGCAGAAACAATACAAAATTTTAATAATTTACCTTATATTATTTCAAAATATTTACATTATGACTTCATTCAAAATAGTGAAGAAAGAATGAAGTTATTTAGACTTATAAGAGTAAAATTTGATTATTGATGAATAGGCCTACTATTTATGCACAATTAAATCTGCAAAATGTCTGTACAAAGAGTTGTAATATTAAAACGATAGATTACGAGAGTCATTTTGGTCTACATAATCTAACATTGATTATTTAAAGCAGTCTTTTAGATGACAATCCCGTTTTAACATACCGGAAGAAAGTGACATTCCCAGGAATACGATTCGCTACTTCCTTGGGGTCGCGATCTACTGGTTGAGAAAAAAAGATGTAGGCAATATTGTCGGATACATGAAAAGCTCGCAAATGTAATTTGTTATATAAATTATATACTGCATAATTGGCGTAGAGCTAAACAATGTATCATTCTGTAAGTTTGTCATTAAGTGAATACTCCATTTAAGCTTATAAGTTATGCAGACTTTTAAATTTAGAAAGTGGAGCTTCCCAAGTTTAAATGGAGATGACGATACGTTAACTGGATAGAATATAATATTAGTCGATATGAATTAATTTAATTACATAATGTCTAAACTCTTAAGTATTGTTTCTATTTTAAAATTTAGATCTACTTTTAAATTCGATTAGCTTAAGGACCATAAAATAAGTTTATTTTAAATTGCTTCATTATGTTTTTAAAGTAATTTAAACGTGTCCTAAACAAAGTTTTATGCTAATTATTTATTTTTAAGATTAATTGTCTTGAAATGTCGAGAAAAAAAATGACAAGATGACATTTTTAATTTATTTAACGACAGAATAATGCCCCCGAATCCAGTCTAAAAGCAGCGTGTAAAGTTATTCGAGTCGATCTGAACTCCATTCTTTTATTCGTAAACTTTCAATCGTGTTAAATTTGAAAAGACATGAAAGAAACTTTCATCAGTAGTTTGCATGCAACGAAGTTGTGTGCGGAGAATAATGAAGATGTAGACAGAAGGAGGAGTCGTCGGGACCATGTTGCTGCTAACATTGGAGTTGTTTATCCGACCGTATCAGATAGAGCGTCTCAATTCGCATAAATTTACAAAATTAACGGTTGACGTAAGCTTTACTTGTCAGAATCGTAAATAGATTTTATCATTTACTGTGCTTGTGTCACGGAAAGATTGACCAGTTGGGCTTGACAGGTAATTTCATTGGCAAAGACCCTGATACCAGCATTCAACTGTGGACGGTGCACAAAGCATTTCTGCCGACTTGACTTCGTACAATACGGCAACAAGGCAAGCTTCTGATTTGGCACTGCTTCCGTTATTGAAGACTTTCATATGTTCACTGACAACTGATAGCGAGTTTTGTTGACGGGACAAAAAATCAAGGCGCTTCTCATAATTCCTCACCGTTCCGGTAATTATAAGATGCCGTTTAT